AGAGTTGGATTTTTCGCTGGCTCAGCACCAGCGTCTGTGACAACAGCCGACGTAAATGGCGATGGCAAAGCTGATATTATAGTCGCATACAAGAATACAAACAATGTTGGTGTTTTACTGAATAGTGGTACTGGCACATTTCCTGCTGCTCCAGTAAACTATGGGTTACTTGCTAACTCAGCACCGACGTCTGTGAAAACAGCCGATGCGAATGGCGACGGCAAACTTGATATTGTTACCGCGAATAGTGGTACAAACAACTTTGGTGTTATCCTGGGCAATGGTGATGGCACATTTGCTGCTACTCCAGTAACCTACGCAACTGGCGCTGGCACAGTACCGGTGTCTGTAGTAGCAGGCGATATAGATAGGGATGGTGATAACGATGTTCTGGTTGCAGACAGCGGTACAAACCAAATTGGTGTTTTCTTAGCTGTCTGCAGCAAATGAAGGAATCCAGCTTTTTTGTCAGGAGAATCTGACAAGATGATATTATGACAGTGACATTAACAAAGCATTTTATTCTATGTAGAGACAATTTAGTAGCACAAAACATTTTTCATTTCGATCTATTTTTTTCTTCTTTACTAACCAAATAAGAAAAATATTCATTATTATTTAGAAGTATTTACTAACAAACTCATAATCAAAATTGATTCTTCACAATAAAGTCGAGAAAAATTTTAGTCCCTACCTTGTTTAGTAGAATTCACTTTCGCACGACAGTGACTGTTGATAATACACAAACCATCATTACCGATTTCAGCCTCATTAATGTCGGATTCTAACGCATTGACGATCATTATACTGATGGTCTTACTGTCCTAGGAATCGTATATCATCAATCTGGATACCATAGCTTCTCATGAGTACAATATTCTGTGACAAATGTCTTACTAGATATTTTGCAGCTCCGTTTGTACTTTGAGAGTGTGAATCCTCTCTTCATTCACACTCTCGCACAACCTCAGCCAAAAGAGTTATAGTTCAAAAGCTTTATTTACGTGCATACAACTTTGATAAGAGTATGTTCTGTCGAAGTCTTCTATTGTTATGTCAATACACTTTGGTTAACTAACATATATACGCATATTTCATAGCTGTTCAAGCTGGTAGCTCAGAGTGTAGTCATTTCTGACGTGAAAAGATATGATAGAAATAATTGTTGAAGTTACGATGATAACACGAGAATTAAAACTACTGCACTGCAAAGATTATTAATCTTTGATAGTGAATTTAATAAGTTATCGTTAAAACCTTCGCTATATCTCACAGCAAAATACAGATGAGAAGGAGTTTGTTCTCAAATCATTTATATTCAAATCTAAATTTTACTAATGAAATCTTTCAAAAACTGTTTTTGACAGTTAATGCCTTCGGTGATATCATCTGTGCATTCTTGTATATGGAACACATGTTTGTAATTTAAAAACAGGCATATACTTTTGTTTCAAAACTAGAAAACGTCAAGGCCACAAAAAGAACTTATTCTTGTGCGACCGCTTGAGAATATACAGCTCTCATAAACAAGAAAATATACGTCAATGCTAGAGCAAGACTATCCGATTGTTCGCAGTGCTTGTTGGATCGAAAGAAAATTGTAAAAGCATGCAAAAATAGCTTAGTGGTGATCGATTACTAGAATGTTAGTTCGTTAGACATGTAAAATAAGAATAAATAATAATTATCAAATAAAACTTTACAATCATCCGTAGTAACCCAACCTGTCATCGAGCTCCACTCGGCTTTTGCCAAGTGCTCAAAAAATCCTGAATATGTCCCTACTCTTTTATGAAATGAAATCAGGTTTTGGGAAGGATATCATTCGAAAACCGTCATCAAATATTGTTGTATTATCTTGAAATATGTGTGCCTTTTCAGTTACAGGAGTCGCTGCCGGATTCCCTTTGGGTATTACACGTGATCCTAACCCGGGCATACTTTACGTGACTAGTTCGAATAATTGTATCTACCAAATTGCACAAAATAGCGGGGTTACATCACCAATAGTTACTGGATTGACCAACCCAAGTGGTGCTGCTTTGGATTCAACATCAACTCATCTTGTGATCGGTCATCAAGGGGGAGGCGCTATGGTTAGCTGGGCTTTAGGAGCCGGTGCAGTGACACCTATTACTAATCTTAACTCAGCACCAGGGGCTGCCAGAGATGTAACGATCGATTCCTCGGGAAATATGTGCGTCGCCGACACGCCCAATAATCGCATACTGTTCTTTCCAGCTGGTCAAACGACTGGTCGTGTCATTGCAGGCACGGGAGCACCTGGCAATGGAGACAACAAACTAAGTAGTCCCTCTGCAGTTAGACTCGACAGTCAAGATAATTTGTACGTGGCTGACACACTCAATCACCGCATACAAAAGTTCTCGTGTATCCTAGCTTAAGCTGCAACGGTCTTGATGAAACATTGAACATGTTCTCTTTTCTTTCTTTTTACTCATTCATACATACTTTAGAAATAACTTGCTTTTAGTTTTCATATTTATTCACATAGGAACCACAGTTGATTTGTATCGCAATTTTTTTCATACATTATTTCTATACTCATTTTTTCTTTAATAAAACATATATAATGGCGTGTGGGTAGACTAACCGAAAACACATCGACTTAGTGTGCCAAGAGATACACTGACATGATATGCTATCACCTGTATGTGGTATCATCGTTACGTCATTTCACTCTTGCTTCATATCATCTTTTTATGATATCATCCTCGTATCCTTAAGTAATACGACCCATAGTGTTCAATACTTTTGTAATCGATGCGCTATACACTGCATATACGCTCATTATTCTCTTTTCACTCCGATATATTACCGCATCAAACAGAAGCAAGGAGAAAGGATGTGGGTGGGTGTGAACTGTGGATGTGGGTAGGTGTGAAGTGTGGGATGTGGATGCGGATATAGATGAAGACACTACCTATACCCACATCCTCAAGTATCAATTTTTATCCTCGTACTTTGATTCAATGTGAATGAACAAATGTATGTTTTGTTTCAGTACCATAACTATGCAGTGAACATCTAAATACCAAACCAAAATGGATATAGAATAGTGTTATAGTCGCTGGAGGAAATGGGCAAGGTAGTGAAATGAATCAACTCAACTATTCCTGGGATTTGTGTATTGATGATGATAAAATTATATACATCGCTGATTACTGGAATCATCATAATATTGAATGGCAATGTGGTGCGACGACTGGTCGAGTTGTGGCCGGTGGAAATGGACAAGGAAATCTTCCTGATCAGTTGAGCTATCCGCCAGATGTGATTATTGATAAAAAAAATATTCTTATTATTTGTGATGGTGTTAATAATAGAGTATTTCGATGGCCTCGTCAAAATGGTACAAATGGAAAGAAGATCATTTCAAATATTGGATGTCATGACTCGACAATAGACGGTGATGGTTTTCTCTACATTGTTGTTTGCGCTAGATATCAAGTTACACGATATCGAATGGAAGTAAATCAAGGAACAGTCGTTGCAGGTGGACATGGTCTAGGGAGTCGTCTTGATCAATTGAATTATCCAAGATACGTATTTGTCGATCGAAATCATTCTGTGTACGTATGGGACGAGTAGAACCATCTTGTTATGAAGTGGATGGAAGGTACGAAACAAGGTATTGTTGTGGCTGGTGACCAAGGTCAGGGTAATAGTCTTACACAATTATCATTTCCTTATGAAATTTTTGTGGATTAATCGGGTAATCTCTATGTGAGTGATTATGGAAACCATTAAGCACAAAAGTTCAGCATTGATCAAATTTGATGATTTTTGAAAACTGACCTTGCTTTAACATTCTCATCATAGTCTTGAACAAATGATTGAACAATAAAGTCATTTCGAATCGAATTATTTTGTAGCGACTAGTATATGATAATGAATCACATAACAAAAATCATTATCTGTCAAGTTCTACTAGAGAATTCTGTTTTGAATACTCTGACATTATCCAAATATTTTAGTTTTTTATCGACTTAAAAGAGTTTATTTTCATCATTAAAAAATCGATGATTTTTTAAAGTTCTCTGTGAAATGGGCAAATGTCAAAGATGATTTGAATTTTAGCTCATCGAACGATCGTCTGGAGCTAGTCGACCAAGCAAATTTGTTTTAGATGCAACTCACCGTGAAATGCAATGTACTTGTGTTATCATTCGCTGATGATTTAGCAATCTGGTTCTGGTCCGCATGGAGTAAGAGAAATTTTGATCTACATAGAAAAAGAATATAATGCATATCACACTGTGACAGAAGAAACTTTCAGAGATGGTGAAATCATCTTTGATATACTTTCTGTGTTCGAATTCGCTTTCTGAACCAAATTCTAATTCAATGATTTCGACCGATGAGACACAGAGAAAATGTTGTTCCTATCGATGGAGATTTCAACAGATTGATTAGATTATATATTGCATAAATGCCAAGCATTTCTTAGCGTCTCAGACTTTGAATAGAAAATGAGAGAGCGTATCTTTCTATTTTGTAAACAGGTTTTTTTTAATCTCATTGATCGATTTTTTCATCGACTAACGAAGATTTTATAACAAACAGAGCCGATCAATTCCAACACCTTGTTGAGTAAAACATGTTTTCGTTGAGCTGTCAGATTGAAGTTTTTCTAATGAATATTTTCCAAAAAAGAGAATCACAAAATCAATCGTAGCACAATGTGCTATTGAATAGAATTGTATAAAATAAATTTCTAGATTGACAAGAACCTTTCGTGCTTTTATCAATAGTTTTACTTAACTATTCGATCAATTTCATTCCTCTGATTAATTCTGATTTCAAATATTTCATCGTCGTTTCAGTAGAAGACCTTCAGAAATTTACTTATCTGCATTGATAGATGTCAGATATTTATCCTTAACTGTATCATTCTATTTTTAAACGTTTTAGTTTTCGTCAAATAAAATGAAATACCCTTAGAAGTCGCAGGTCCCATCGATTTCTCTCATGATCATCTAGAGGGTATGGGTGTGAGGGTGTGGATCTCAATGAAGGGAAGACCCTCACTCACACACCCACCAACAGCCACAACCACACTCACACCGTTACTTATTCACCCAATCATGCATCCACACCCGCACCCTCACCCACATCTTGATTATTATGTGATGTCTGGTTATAAGTAGTTTTCATGAGATTTATAAGCAATAAATTCAGAAAAACTTAGATAATTCAAATTTTCTAGTCGAGTTACAGAGGAATAGAACATCAACAAAATTTGCTGAGCTAAAAATTGCGATGATTCGAAGAAATATTGTTAGATTCGAAGCGGTTTTTTTTGATGAAGTGCTTGAGTAACATCTATATTGAATTCAGTTATATTAATTTTTTTCTAAATTTTGTGTAACTGTTAACTTTATGAAAACAGTGACATAACCAAGGAAGAATCACGAAGCTGAGTATCCACCAGCAAAGTGCTATTGATTAAAACTCAATCCGATGCTGTCACTATGACACTTCTGACTTGTAAAAGAATCACAATAAATAGCTTATAATGGTAGCATATATTGTTCGATATATATGTAACCGTAAAGATACTCGAAAAAAAGGTAATATAAATGAAAAAACTGTCAATAGTTAGTTCTATGAATGAGTAGTGTAAAAAAATCGATTGCTATGAATTATTTGTGTGATTTCTTCAAAAGTTCAAATGATGTCGATACCAATGCATACTTTTCTAGATGAGGAGTACTAATAAAGTGTAGTTTTCCAATTGGTGAGCTAGCATATGCTTTTTGTATCCACAAAACTAATCGACCATCGCTAAGACAACATGCATTGACTGGTCCAATATGAAAACGACGAATAAGAACACCGTCCATAGCTTGATAGAGAAGTAATTGTTGACTTCGAGGATCACATAGAAGATATCTAGATTCTGTCCCATAAGGTACGATGGCTGTTATCCATCGAATTGACGAAGGCAGACGAACGTGATCAGCTAATTTTTTAAGAGAATGATTATGTAAAGCAAAATAATGATCAATTTCTAATAGATTTCTTAATTGTGTAGTTGATTTTTCTATTCGTGGAAAACGTCGATAAACAAAAGCTAGATGATCATAAGATAAACATATGGCAGCCAATTGCCCATCGATCGATAGATCATTGATTAATTTCAGTTCTTGGTCTACATCATCCAACGTATAGGTCTCTAATCGATATGTGTCTGCTCCAGACTTATAGGCTAAAATTGAGTAAAAAAAATTTCATTTTGGTGAAAATTTGTGAAGCTCACCATAGAATAAAAGTCCAGTATGATTGCTTGCAAGAAATCTTCGAGAATCAGTACGATCATCGTAAGTTGGTTGACAACGATATCTTATTGTCATGTAACGACGTGATGTCGGTGGCATTGTGCCAGAACAACAACGAGCACCACATCCACATTTGCAAACACATCGAACTCTTTGTCGATCAATATCAAACATGTAAAAATGATATCGACCGACAAGAATTAATCGTTCAACGTAAGAACACCAAACACCTGCAAATATCTTATCTTTTACATTGCCTAGTACTCGACTAAGTGGTATAGACCAAGTTAAACCAGAACCACGTGTGTACACATCAATAGATAATAAACTGAGTAGTATGACACTGTTATCTCGTCCTTGACAAAAGACTGTTTCTAAGTATGAATCAACTAGTGAAACTGCTATCGGATGTGGACCCATCGAAAACGATCGTTCGATAGGAAGTGGAAAATCTTTTTGAATATTGAGTGAGACAGTAATCGTCTTCGACCGATTGATTCTTGCTGTCTGTGCTCTCATACGAGAACGACGAAAATTATGAGAAGCCATAAGAGATGGAGACTTTTTAGTGATTTGGCCTATTTGATCCTTGAGACGCATATCTAAATCAACAAGTGTTTTTGCATCAAGTAAGTGATCCTTTTCAAGATGTTCCTTGAGAATAATTAAATAAGTTTCCAAAGAATTTCTTGCCATAACTGATAAGTTGGAGCTAAACAATAAATAAATGAAATTTTTCTACGAGTATTCCCCATTATCAACAATATCATCATCTTTTTTTTCTTCAGATCCATTCAAGCGCAGATACTTACTTTGTCAAATTATCAGTAGAATCGGCCAATCTTATTTGGTACATTTTCAATCGTTTGAAAAGCTCATGCATTTGTCGAATGACATTAGCACGATGTTTGCTAGTACATCGAGCACAGAGAACAGCTTCACAATGATTGATACAAGCAAAATTAGCAATCAAACCACATGACGAACATTCTCGATCTAACTTCAATCTTTCTTCTGTTGTTAGTAGTGATGCATGCAATGCTGTGCTCATTCTGTGATGCTTATAGTGTTAGGTTAGTTTATAATCTAGAACAAAATGTAAAGTTCGCTCGAGTTCGACTTACGGAAAGCTTCAGAACAACTGACTTAGATGAAACACTTAACCAAAAAATTGAATACTGAAGAAAAGAAAATCTATTACTAAGTTTTTCCAAATTATTCACTGTACGACAATTGTGGCTATGTAAAATTTTAAAATGATTTCAATAATAGCATACATTCACTTATTTGCCATCAATTTTCTTTTTCTGTCGTTACCGACAACAACAATAGAAACAAGGTAATATAGTGAGTTTACATGTGCCTTAAGTGAACGAGTAAGATGTAAACGGGTGTAGATTTATTTTTTCTCTTGATTAATATGAAAGACTATGGATAAAAATTGAAGTTTGATTTCACCCAAGTATAGCGCATAAACAAATGTTTTTTTTTGTTTTATTAATAGTTCATTTAATCAAAATATAGCGAAGATATTCAAAATTTTCTTTTTTTTTCTAGTGACTTTATGGTCACTCTATATATTGATAAAATCTAATAAAATTTGATTGGTTGTTCGATAGACAAATAAGAAGCAAGGTAAACATAACGTGTGTACATATCATTTTTCCTTTTCAATTCGCATTTCGTTGATCAGGCGATCGAAATTACTCTAAGGCATCTGCCTATGTTTATATAAGTAGAATAAAAAATAAAATAAAATTTTATTCGTGTTGTTTTTTTTTTCTTTATCATTTTAGTTTGTTTTTTGTTTTATTATGATTACCTAATATGAATATATCCCGGTGATGCTTCAATCATCAGCAGCTAAAGATAATAATCGTACAACAGAATCTCTATCACAATTACGTGTTAAAATATGTTCTGTACGATTACCATCATCAATAAAACCTGTAGATATAAGTGTTGTAATGGAAGTAGATAATAAACATTTTTATCGAACAGAAATCATACGTAAAAAAAATAAATTAAATACAAATTCATCAATAATAACTATAAATGAATCATTTGATATACTTGTTACATTAAATTCAAAAATTTTAATAAAAATTCTTGCTCCAACACGTCTTTTTGGTAATCATGAACTAGGACAATTACAATTAAATATAAAAACACTTATTGATGATTATCATTTATTAGAACAAAATAATAATGATACAATACCATCGTATCTTGTTAAATTACCTTATGATAATCAAACAAGATCATCATCAACATTTCGATCAAATGATACAAATAATCTTTCGAATGGTG